GATTCTGCAAATGTTTCCATAAGAGAGTGAATGAAAAGCTGCATCGAATGCATGCTGAAACCCGTTCAGATCTTTATTGTTCCTGGTTTCATAGTGGTTTGAAAAATCGTACAAAACTTTCGGGATAACCTAATATTAGGCGTTCCATGAGTTCGTAGCGTTTTAATTTTGGACACCGTTTTTTGGTGAAGCTGTTAACAGCAATGCCCTACAAGAATTGCTTTTTATTTTCGAAGGGAACCCCATGATTTTTCTTCTACAATTTCTCTAGAAAAGTTTGCGGAATGGCAAAATATGGCGCTTTCGTAATCTGCAGTCTCGGCTCCATATACGGAAATTACCAGGGGATATTTTCCACCCGAAGCCGTTGTGAGTGATGAGACTGTTTGCCGGATCATGATGCACATAAAAGTAGACTTCTTGCCGAAAAAGACGCTACAAAGAAACATAGAGCTTCTTTTACCGCATGTGTAGAAGTTCTGCCTTTGAAGGAAATGAAAGAGGTGACAAAATTTTTTGGAGAAGCTCAAAATGGCTGTTCGCGCTTGTATTTAAAGTTCTGTGCTAAAACAAAGCTGTTCATGCTTGAAAGCATTGTCTAGAAAATTAGTATGCCTATAAAAAATTTGTTCATTTGAATAACTGGTAGAAAAAGTATAATAGATGCCACATGGCACTAAATGGTTTTAATTTCTGAAAGTTGATCCTATTGTCAACCCTTGAATTTATGATGATTATTACAGAATTCGTGTGTAGCGGAGAGAGGGACATGTGGAATACGCATATATCCTTGTGTGAGTCTGTTGTTTGCAATCTGTTGCTCATTCACACGCCCATCGCACGTACAGAAACCCTTTGATTTGCTACCTGCTTTGTGTAGTATACTTTGTTTTTATATATGTACAGCGACGTGTACGGCTCTTAGCAGCAAGCAGATCAAAGGACGCGTGCAAAGAGATGAATGGCCGGCTGAACATATTAAATGAAGGACCGAAAATATGTTACAATAGTGTGGTAAATATAAAAATATTAAGTGGATCCATGAGTTCGTAGCGTTTTTGTTTTTGACACCGTTTTTTGGTGAAGCTGTTAACAGGGATCTCTACAAGAACTGCTCTCCATTTTTGAAGTGAACCCGATAACTTCCGTTTTACAACTTCTCAAGATAAAGTTTGCAGAGTGGCAAAAAATGGCGCTTTCGTAATTGCAGTTTTGGCTCCGTATACGGAAATCACCAGAGGATATTTTCCATTCAAAGTCGTTGTGAGCGATGAGACTGTTTATCGGACCTTGATGCATATAGGAGTAGACTTCTTGTCGAAAGAGACGCTACAGGGAAATATAGAGCTCCTTTACCGCATGTGTAGATGTTTTGCCTTTGATGGAAATGAAAGAGTTGATCCAAAATTTTTTGGAAAAGCGCAAAATGGCTGGTCAGTGCTGTATCTAAAGTTCTGTGCCAGAACAAAGCTGTTATGCTTAAAAGCATTGTCTAGGAAATTAGTATGCCTATAAAAATTTGTTCATTTGAATAACTGTTAGAAGAAGTAGATGCCACATGGCACTAAATGGCTTTGATTTGTATAAGTTCATCCTATTGTCAACCCTTGAATACATGATGATTTTACAGGAAAAGTGTCTAATGGAGAAAGTACTTGGATTTTTTGAGCCAATGTTGGCAAGATGCATATCTCCTTGTGTGAGTCTATTGTTTGCAATTTGTTGTTCATTCACATGTCATCCACACGTACGGACCCCTTTAATTTGCTACCTGCTTTGAGTACGTATACTTTGTTGTATTTATATACATATGTACAGAGGCGTGTACGGCTCTTAGCAGGAAGCAGATTAAAGGACGCCTGCAAAGGGATGAATGGCTGGCTGAACATATAAAATGAGGGACCGAAAATATGTTACAATAGTGTGGTGAATATAATAATATTAGGCTGGAAACTAAGTTTTGCAGCTACTTTCATAACTCATCTCTCCTTGGATTAGCGAACTCAAACTTAGGCAATATGTAGAGCGTGGTGTGAGCTACAACAGACCAAAGCTGCTTGGATTTTGAAAGAGAATTAAAAAAACTTCAGGCCGAAAACTAATAAATTTGGAAAATTCTTAGGGCTTTGAGGTAAAATGAAGTTGTTTGCAGTCTAGACCATGCGCAATCATCCGTACCGTGTACCAATTGTTGCTAGAGGTTGACTTAATCGGCTCACGCCAAACAGACATAAAATTCAAGGCCAAGTCAAGATTTGACGCCCTCAAGATTTCGAAAGAGTTGCTGTACGCAAGGCTGCTGAGAACAATCGTCAATGACTAAGGCGTCAAAACCACAAATTCCCCGAGTCTTTACATACTAGGGTTCTTTAAACTGCTAGACACGAATATCGTACTCATTTGTTAAATCAATGCCTCTTTCCTTGCTTATTATGGGACCCTGTATCGTACACCTACAATAATCTTATAAAAAAGCCCTTATCGCGCAACTTCAGTATTGTTCACGTGATCAGCATGTTGGGTAGCCCCCTTCTGTCGAGTTTTATAATTTTTCCCTTCATATCGCATACCTACCGTAACCCTCACTGCAGCGTCAGAATTTGGCAGAACAGCAGCTGCTCTTGTAGCTCACGTCATAACCAACGCAGTGGCAAAATTTGAACGCGCCAGAATGAGAGGAAAGTTATTGAATGAGATGCAGAACTTGGCTTCCAACCTGATATTAGGTCGTTCCATAAGTTCGTAGCGTTTTTGTTTTTGACACTGTTTTCGGTGAAGCGGTCGGTTAACGGGGATGCTCTACAACAATTGCTCCTTATTTACGAAGTGAACCCCATAATTTTTGTTCTACTCTTAAGATAAAGTTTGCGGAGTGGCAAAATATGGCGCTTTCGTAATCTGCAGTTTTGGCTCCATATACGGAAATCACAGGGGGATATTTTCCACTCAAAGTTGTTGTGAGTGATGAGACTGTTTACCGGACCTTGATACACATAGAAGTAGACTTCTTCTCGAAAGAGACGCTACAGAGAAATATAGAGCTCCTTTACCGCATGTGTAGATGTTCTGCCTTTGAAGGAAATGAAAGAGTTGATCCAAAACTTTTTGGAAAAGCTCAAAATGGTTGTTCAGCGGTTGTGTGGCGGCTTGGTGTGATCAGCACCTTTCGCAAGTGCTCGCCGCGGCTGCACCTGACTCCCGTTGTCCCCTACGATGTCGCGCGTCCGCCAAGGTTCATAACGCCTTGATGGGCACTACCGAGGACTACCCCCCACGAGTGTGAACGGAAAAATAAATAGCGCGTAACGCTGAGACAAGAAAAGATCGATTAATTCAGACTACATTTATCTACAAAACACAACAATAAGCCACTAATACTATAAACACTCTGAAACTATTGAAGGCAGTGGCTCGGCAAATCTCAACCTAGTCAAATTTGCGCTTGCCTGGGGTTTTTCAATACGCTGATCCCGAAAATCCACTTTTGAAAGCTTGAAAACTGCGAAAATGAGCGTTTTCTAATGCCCTTCCCTTTGGCATTGGACCAGTGGAGCAAGGCCAATGACGCTAAATCGAGGCGGGACCCAATGGTTATAGCGTTGCGGCGGGCAGCCCCCAATGGTGAAAAGGAAATTGCCAACTCGTTTAGATGCGTGTAAGATTGGCCTCCGCGTGTAAGTTTGGGAGCGATTTTCTCGGCAGGGAAAACATGCTGTGCAACTGGGATTGCACTGTTTTCATAGTTGGGCGATAGGGAACCTACTGCGTTAAAATCCCGAGTTGTTGGATTTTGCCGATCCACTGCCTTTAAAACTACTAAACTACTACTTCAAATCCAGGAAAAACTAGGCACGGACGAGCCGCCTCGTCTCGTGCTGCCGATGCTAATGGTAATCGACTTCAGCCAGTAGTTCCGGGCTCTCCGCTGGGTCGACCGCAAGCCCCTAGCCCTTCCGGGACTGTGTGACCCCTCTCCATTCCCGCTAGTACACTTCCTGCGCAAGACGAGCCATGAATTTAGCTGCGCGTCTCCAAAACCAAGAAGATGACGAAAGTTCAACCCTCGGTCAACTGCGTGAGCTGTTAGAGGTGCTGCCAGCGCGAACGATATCATAAAACGATCAATACGAACGAAACCCGAAGAGACGTAGACCGCGGCCTGCGCGCCCTTATATACCCTGTGACTTGGCAACGCGCCCAGCAGGAGAGGTCTTGGCGCGAAATGGGCAGCGCGCCAAGTGGCGCGATTGCCAGCGCTCCCGGCCTCCTGTTTTGATGAGTGGCTTGCATCGCGAACCGCGACACTCCCCCCTCCCCTCCCCCCCCCCCCCCGAAACAGGGGACTTGGACGTCCAGATGGTGGTTACGTGATAGCGCTGGAGTCCACAACGGAGAACACCTAACCGAGTATGGCCCAAAAAGAAACGGCGCCATCGGCAGCACAGTAGCGGTGCGCGACAAAGGAAAATGAACAACTCGGCCCGTGCAAAAATACAACACCTTCACAAAAGCGCTATGGCGCTCGAATACTTGATACAGTTCTACACCGAGTGCGCACGACGCGCCAAATAAAACTATGGATAAAACGTAAAAGAAAAACAGTTAGAAAAGATGGAAAATAGTTGAAAAATCACAGTTAGTGAAGGTGAAACAGACTGATATAATGATCATTGGGCAGAGCTGTTGTTGATGCCGTGGAGCTGACAATCGGGTATGCACATTTAGACGACCATCAGTACGAGGTGTGCTCAACCAAGTGGTACAATTCTGTAACACACATAACCTACGAGGTCAAAATCGCACAAAATCGGAACATACATATCAAATCAACTACCTCCATGGTGACGCTGACACACTACCCACCCTTTAAGGTCCCATTTCTCCTGCGTTCACGTCTGAAAGATGGCATCGAGGCGCGCGAGCGCTTACTTCCCATGCGCGACCGGGGACCTAATACTTATAGACGGCAACAAAAAACGAAATCGCGCAGGCTAAAGATGTTAAAAATGGACTTCAGTCCAGCCTCCCACGACAAGGATGTTAACGCGCGGGCATCCTCTACGCAAACTGCACAAAGCACAAGGTTAGCAAATGCGCGTAGATGAAAGAAAGGGGTAGCAAGCTCTTCCATTACCTAAGGCGCGTTTGTGCAACAAAAAGTAAGATATGCAAAATGAAAGTACATATGCCTGAACTTGGCTGCTCGAAATAACACGCACGTGCGCTGAATACCTGGCAGTAGATGCGGTGTCGAAGGTGCTTGAACTGGGTTGGATGAAGTCGAGGTCTGATCCAAGGAAATCCAAATCCGTGTCTGTGGCACTGCAAAAGCTATGCACAGAGAAGTCGTAGTCGGGTAAAAAAGTCATATAAAGGGTATTAGCATGCCCATGTAAGCAGTCAAGTGAACCGACACCTAGTTTATTCGAAGATCAAACTCTTGACACAAAATTCGATGGATTCAAGCGAAAATATGATAGGCGCGTCCTCGCACAATGCATCATACTACGTACGTACAAAACAAAAGGAATAACAAACCAACAATGGAAACAAATCAAATCAACAAGTAACAATTAAAGTTAACAATAACAACATACGTTCGCAGAATGATGATTTCACTATCATTTTGTCTTCTTCTTTAAGTGGGGTCGTTGCCGAGCTAGTGATCTCCGATACTACTGGATAACTAAGACCTAATAGAAGTGGTCCGAAGCGAGTGTGCGACAGAATAAGACCTGATGGAAGCTTCTCAATTCTATGCAAGTCCACAACGCGCCAGTAGTTATCTATTCCAATGAGTACGTCAACTTCGACTCTATCGTCCATATAGGTGTTGTTTGTCTCATCCAAGTTGTTCGCCTTTGGGACCGTTGTGATGGTATCGCGCGTCCAAAGCTGAAGTTGGATTGGACGATCGAGCTGGTCCCATAACGTGAGTGTGACTTCTGACGAGTCTTCAGTGAACTGGTGTCCTCCGAAGGTCAGAGTTGTGACAGTCCTAGTATTCTTGAAAATCAGGCCAAGATGGTATGCCAGCGAGGCACAGACGAAACTATACTGCGCACCACTATCGAGGAAAACAGTAAGCAGTTCATTCGTACTAGTTTTGAGGTTTCGGGTTATAGCATGAACCACCATCAGACGAGGAACCTGAGTTGCACAAGCAGCTTGGCACACAGACGTGCAGGATGAAGGTGGATGTGACCCTAAGCTAGCTTCATGTTGGTCGAGCAACTCTATGGGCTCATCTGACTGGGTGGAATCATGCGCGACTGGAGTGCAAATGGAAGTTTGCACAGCGGGAAACGCGCTTGAAGATCTTCGAGGAAGAGTAGCGCGTCTAGAGTTGGAACGTGATTGATGCCTAGATGGAGATGGCGGTTTAAGTGTAGGTCGACGCGAAGGAGAAGTGCGCGGACCCGCGTATTGGGTGCGAGATGGTGAAGGGTGCGCTGTCGTCTCGAACTGCACGCGTCTAGGTGAAGGAGAGCGCTGTTGGAATTGCGCAGGTGGGTACGACGGATAAAGCGCTGGTGGTAATGTAGCAGACAAGGCTGGATGGTGTAATCTGCCACAGTATCTTCACGCTGGGGCTCTGCAGATGATGGACGTGTGACCTTCTTCGGGACACAGCCAACACAGTCTGTATTGGTTGACGAGCTCTCTCCTCTGTTGCACGTCGGGTACTGTCATACAACACTTCGAAGCATGTCCATGACGGAAACAGAAGGCACAACGAGGCTTCCATGGTGTGGTATACTGAGGTCTGATAGGGCTACGGGATGTGCGCCGTGGGTAATAAGGAGTCGGAGGTCTATAAGTGACGTCACGGTATCTTGGTGATGGTGAGCGCTAGCTACGCGTGTAACGTGGGTAAGCTGGTTGTTGCTGATACGGTGGATACCTCATGTACGGCTGACTCGTGCCGGGATACCTATACGGGGAGGGAGAATGCTGACGAACTGTGGAATCCAAATTATAAGCGCGATGATCTGCTGGATCGGAATTCTCTACCACTTGCAGTCTATCAGTGACCGTGCTTAGAGCTAACAACAGCTCGTCCACTGTCCACATAGAGTCACATTTACCCTTCAGTTCGCCAACTTTTTCGCGTGTATGCCAGGGGAACTTAGATCGAATTGTCCTCAACGTAGCGATCGAGCTGGAATCCTCGTTCAACTCCTTCATCTGGTACCAAGTTGCCTGAAGCGCGCAAAGTGTAGCGCGTTGCGAAATTGCAGAGCCTGACGCCGGTGACTGCTGCGACAACTTGTCCCACAAGCGACTTCTCAAAATCCCAGGGCGCGATCGTACGTGCTCAGGATAGTGCGTACTGCAGTGTCGTAATTCTTCGCCGTTGGTTTGAAGCCTGCGATAATACGAGCAGCATCTCCTCTAAGGACCGACTTCAAGTACATGAACTTGACTGCTGCCGGCACGGTATTGTCATTATGCACGGCTGTAGAAAAGATGTCCCAAAACTCGGAGAATGCTTCGATATCGCCGCTGAAGGTTGAGATCTCGTAGGAAGGCAACTTCACAGGTTGCTCCAAGGTCAAAAAGGGATTAAGGGCTGAAGAGGATGAGGTTAGAGGGTCATGTGAAAAGGGATTTGGCGAAAAATTTGTAAGCCCAGATGGGGATTGCGAAAAGTGGGTGGGATTCGAGGAAGAGTCACCTGAGGGAAAGCCAAATGCCCGGAGGATGCACGCCAGTGTGGCTCACAAGGGGACGCTGGTCAACAGGCGCTGTTGGGTCAGATGGACGACTATGATGCGGCGGAGAATGGCAGCGCTTCCACTTCCGCCTGATGCGCGTGTTGAGGGGATGGCGCAGAATCTTGGGTAGTATGGGGAGGAGAATTGCGCGCCAAGGATGGAGCAACAGATGGAACAGAAGACTGAAGGCCTCCCAAGATAGAAAGAAATCTGATCGCCGAATCCAAGCGAACAAAGAGAGCACCCGCTTCCTCTAAAAGATCATCCATCCCACCGGTTTCCCAATGAGTATGGATGTCGGAGAGGAAAGGGAATTCTCCATGCTTGTCAGGATTCTGCCGAGCAAACTCTTCGGCTTTCTCCAACTGGCCACGTAAGGCGGAAGCAGCACGACTAACAGAAGAAAATGAAATAGAAAAAGGATTCAAACGATTAAAAACCAAATATGGATCTTCACTCGCCTCCGAAGCAAAGTCCACTAGATCGAGGTTGGCCTGATCGACTTCCGCGATCTTCTTGCGTAGTGAATTGGCGGCCTTCGCAAGTTGAGCTTTTTTCGAACCGAGTTGCGACATTACCTGAAACATAAAAAAGCAGAAAAGCAATATCAAAAATACCACAAGTTAAGCGAGCAAAAACTACACTACAACCCCAAGATAAATGTGAAGTGAGTACATATAGGAAGTCGGCCCAGCTTAAACCATACGCCAAAGCAAAAAGAATGGGGTAGTCCGACGGCAGTAGGGAGAATAATGGGCGCAAGGCGCACAGTTACGACAACGCGTCCGCCTAAGAGCCTAACGCGGCACCTAAGTGAAACTCGTGTAACAGAACTAGCAGAGCAATTAACCGACTGGAGGCCAGAGTAGACATGTAGGAGGCTCCTGCTTGGCGACCTGGAGGGGTTCGCTGAATCCATGGGCGTGAACCACTAACGCCTACCTAAAACCTAGCACGACAGTAACCTTAACGCAGTTACCTACCTAGAGCGACCTGACCGCATCTATCCTAGACCGAAACCGTACCAAGTTACCTACCTATCCGCGCTGCCTATCCTAGACTACCTATCCTAACCTGACCCCCACTAAACCGGCCTTTACCTAACCCACTTAAAAACTAGACCTAGCCCTATTAACCTAACCGATCCCACTCGAACCATCCTACCTAAACCGGTCCATTAATCGTGCCAAACCTACGCGCCCCAAGTGAAAATCCTACCCCTCATTTAAAGCTTTTCCCTGATCTAAACCCTCTTACCTAGATTGACCTACACCTTAGCCAAACCCCGCTAACCCATCCTAGACCCGCTTAACAAACCCGAATACCTAGTCCATCCCCGGTTCACTCTCCTGTTAAGGACGGCGCCGCGTATACCTCGCCGAGATGCGCGTCCAAAGATCCATCCTTGCAGCCTAAAAAACCTATTCCACTTACCTGCCTTATCCTTTGTTGAGACTCGACACTGTTGCAGGCTGGTCCTTGGTCGAGCCGCCAATGACGACGCCGGTCCGTACTCCTACAGCCTCTCTGGCACGGTGGCTGACCAGGAATCGAATGAGACAACGCGCTCAGCTCGGGGGCTAGTTGGCAAGCTGCCACCTTGCCACTAACCCCACGCGCTGCTCACAGATATTAGCCTGGCTAGCCTCTGTAGACAACTACTGGCTACGAAGACGAAAGACGCGTCTTCCCTGCTTGCCTGAATCTTCCTACTAGGTGCTGAACGTGGTAGACACAGGATTCGTTACGCACGCATGGAGGATGGGATAACTTAGCGCAGAGGAACCTACCTAAAACCCTACCTAACCGCCGATGTTACCTGCCTAGCCGCAACCAAGGCGCGCGGCTATTCATCTCCATACGCGGGGCGGCAAAGCCGCCATCCACCATGCGCTCGGCGTCGATGCACCACGTGGAGGCTCGGTGGAACCAGCACCTTCCGCACGTGCTCGCCGCAGCTACACCTAATTCCCCATTGTCCCCTACGATGTCGGCGTCCGTCAAGGTTCATGACGCCTTGATGGGCGCTGCCGAGCACTATCCCCCTATCCGTATGAACGGCACAATAAATAGCGCGTAACGCTGAGACAAGAAAGGACCGACTAGTTCAGACTACATTTACTACAAAACACAACAATAAACTACTAACACTACAAAAACTACTGAAACTATTAAAACTACTGAACTAATACTTCAAATCTAGAAAAACTAGGCAGGGACGAGCCGCCTCGTCCCGTGCTGCCGATGCTGATGGTTATCGACTCCAACAAGTAGTTCCGGGCTCTCCGCTGGGTCGACCGCAAGCCCCTAACCCTTCCGGGACTGTGTGACCCCTCTCCACTCCCGTTAGTACACTTCAAGACGAGCCATGAGTTTAGCTGCGCGTCTCCAAAACCAAGAAGATGACGGAAGCTCAACCGCTCGAAACGATGATCATCTGCGGGAGCTGTTGGAGGCGCTGCCAGCACGAACGATATTATAAAACGATCAATACGAACAAAACTCGAAGAGGTGTAGACCGCGGCCTGCGCGCCCTTATACACCCTGTGACTTGGCAATGCACCCAGCAGGAGAGGTCTTGGCGCGAAATGGGCAGCGCGCCAAGTGACGCGATTGCCAGCGCTCCCGGCCTCTTGTTTCGACAGCTCGCGACAGCTCGTATCTAAAGCACAGTTGCGATAAGGTGAGAAGACTCCTCCAGGGTGAAGGGGGTCACAGTGGTCGCAGTCCTTCCAGGGTGAAGGGTGTCTCCGTTGATCGAGAAATCATAAAATGCCAACCGGGGGGGGGGGAGGGGAGAAGGCAATAGTGTTTTCTTATTTTCCAAATCAAAGTTTATCATGTTAAATTCTCTGTGATCACTAGTTGTCTTTTTACCAAAATGTGAAGACTAGTATAATTGGAACAACCCTATATGTTTTTAAAAATACCATAGAAGATGTGTATGCGAGAACATCTGTTTCGGGAATGAGATAGACATTGTTTAAGCATTTACGAATTTACAAAAGAAGTAATTCGTAACTTCTGTAAATGAACAACAACGTCAGCAATGAAAAGGTTTTTATAACCATCTTGTCCTCCGCTTTCAGAAAATATATAGAACGCCATCCATTCAAGAAAGTGGAGTGAACGGTTTGCATAGTGATTTGTGGGGATTTTTAATTTTTTAAAATACAAAACTCATAACTTCTGATAATGAACATATTGTACGCCGCGATGGTCACCTTTGGAACCGCCTCATCCTCCGCTTTCAGAAAATATATACTATGTTTGGGGTCCTTTGAAAAAAGTGCCTGGGTGAAGGGTGTCCTAGTGATTGCTGAGATTTCCAAGTTTTTAACATAAAAAAATTCATAACTTCTGTTGATGAACATCTTTTACGCCGAGATGGCCAACACCTTCTAACAAACTCCAGGCAAATTATATATTTTCTGAAATCGGAGGATGAGACGCTTCTAACGGTGGCCATCTCGGCGTAAAAGATGTTCATCAACAGAAGTTATGAATTTTTTTATGTTAAAAAATCAAAAATTCCCAAAAATCATTAGGCAAACCGTTCGCTGCACTTTCTTGAACGGATATCAGACGCTCTATAAATTTTCTGAAAGCGGAGGACGAGATGGTTCCAATGGTGACCATCAATGCGTACAAGATGTTCAAGTACAGAAGTTATGAATTTTTTATGTTAAGAACTCGAAAATCTCCAGAAATCATTATTAACACCCGTCACCAAGCTCTTTTTTCAACAGACTCCTCCTTTTCTGTACATAAATAATTCACGTACAAATATCTTCTTTGCTTAACCTTACCTCAGTGTTGATTATTTTTCTCGGCTTTTGGTGAAGGGGGTCACCTTGGACCCGGCTCAGGGGTGAAGGGAAGGTGAGAAAATTCTCACACTATCGCACCTGTGACCTAAAGTTTTGGGTCAGAACAAAGCTCTTCATGCTTAAAATCATTGTCTAGAAAATTAGCATGCCTATAAATTATTCGTTCATTTGAATAGCTGGAAGAAGAAGTAGATGCCACATGGCACTAAATCGTTTTAATTTGTGAAATTTGATCCTACTGTCAACCCTTGAATTCATGATAATTATTACAGAACTCATGTGTAGCGGAGAAAAAGTCATGTGGAATACGCATATATCCTTGTGTGAGTTTGTTGTTTGCAATTTGTTCTTCATAAACACGTCCATCGCACGTACAGGAATCCTTTGATATGCTACCTGCTTTGTGTACGTATCTTTGTTGTATTTACATATATACAGCGACATGTACGGCTTTTAGCAGCAAGCAGATCAAAGGATGCGTGCAAAGGGATGAATGGCCGGCTGAATATATTGAATGAAAGACCGAAAATATGTTACAATAGTGTGGTAGATATAAAAATATTAGATCGTTCCATAAGTTCGTAGCGTTTTTGTTTTTGACGACGCCGTTTTTTGGTGAAGCGGTCGGTTAACGGGGATGCTCTACAAGAACTGTTCTCCATTTTCGAAGTGAACCCGATAAATTTTGTTTTACAACTTCTCAAGATAAAGTTTGCGGAGTGGCAAAAAGCGCTTTCGTAATCTGAAGTTTTGGCTCCATATACGGAAATCACAAGGGGATATTTTCCATCCGAAGTTGTGAGTGATGAGACTGTTTGCCGGACCATGATTCACATAAAAGTAGACTTCTTGTCGAGAGAGACGCTACAGAGAAAGAAAAGAGCTTCTTATACCGCATGTGTAGATGTTCTGCCTTAGACGGAAATGAAAGAGTTAATCCAAAATTTTTTGGAAAAGCGCGAAATGGTTGGTCAGCGCTTATATCTAAAGTTCTATGCCAGAACAAAGCTGTTCATGCTTAAAAGCATTGTCTAGGAAATTAGTATACCTATAAAAATTTGTTCATTTGAATAGCTGGTAGAAGACGTAGATGCCACATGGCACTAAATGGCTTTAACTTGTGAAATTTGATCCTATTGTCAACCCTTGAATACATGATGATTTTACAGAAAAAGTGTTTAATGGAGAACATACTTGGACTTTTCCAGCCGATAATGGCAGGATACATGCCTCCTTGTGTGAGTCTGTTGTTTGCAATTTGTTGTTCGTTCACACGTCCATCACACGTACAGGAACCCTTTGATTTGCAACCTGCTTTGTGTATAGGGCTTATCAAATTGAGTGTCGTTTGCACCAGCATCTCAATCTTCGCGCTGGGCTCTGCGTCTCTTCTGCGGTACACGCACCCTAATCACTTCCAATCGATTGCTGCTCCGCCTTTCCCACGCTCTCCATAGGAAATTGCTCAGAGAACAGCCCTGCGGAAGAGACGCAGAGTTCAGCGCGAAGATGGAGAAGCCGGTGCAAACGACACTGAATTTGATAAGCCCTATACGTATACCTTGTTGTATTTATATATGTACAGCGACGTGTACGGCTCTTAGCTGGGAGCAGATTAAAGGACGCGTGCAAAGGGATGAATGGCTGGCTGAACATATAAAATGAATGGCCGAAAATATGTTACAATGGTGTGGTGAAGATAATAATATTAGGCTGGAAACTAAGTTTTGCAACTACTTTCATAACTCATCTTTCCTTGGATGTAGCGTACTCAAAAACTTAGACAATATGTAGAGCTAGTCTGACCTACAACTGACCAAAGCCGCTTGAATTTGAGAAAAAATTAAAAAATTTCAGGCATTTTCCGAAAACTAGTAAATTTAAAAAATTCTTAGGGTTTTGAGGTAATATGAAGTTGTTTGCAGTCTAGGCCATGCGCAATCATCCGGAACCGTGTACCAATTGTTGCTAGAGATTGACTTAATCGGCTCACCCCAAAAAGACATAAAATTCAAGGCCAAGTCAAGATTTGACGCCCTCAAAATTTCGAAAGAGTTGCTGTACGCAAGGCTGCTGGGAACAACCGTCAATGACTAAGGCGTCAAAACCACAAATTCCCCGAGTCTTTACATACTAGGGATCCTTAAACTGCTAGACACGAATATCGTACTCATTTGTTAAATCAATGCCTCTTTCTTTGTTTATTATGGGACCCTGTATCGTACCTACAATAATCTTACAAAAAAGCCCTTATCGCGCAACTTCAGTATTATTCTCGTGATCAGCATGTCGGGTAGCCCCCTTATGCCAAGTTTCAGCCGACTCTGTCGCGTGTTATAATTTTTCCCTTCATACCGCATACCTACCGTAACCCTCACCGCGACGTCAGAATTTAACAGAACGCTCTCGTCATAGCCAACACAGTGGCAAAATTTGAGCGCGCCATGTTGAGTGAGAGGAAGATTATTGAGTGAGATGCAAAACTTAGCTTCCAACCTAATATTAGGTCGTCCCGTAGCGTTTTTGTTTTTGACGCCGTTTTTGGTGAAGTGGTTGGTTAACGGGGATGCTCTACAAGAACTGTTCTCCATTTTCGAAGTGAACCCGATAAATTTTGTTTTACAACTTCTCAAGATAAAGTTTGCGGAGTGGCAAAAAATGGCGCTTTCGTAATCTGGAGTTTCGGCTACGGAAATTACCAGGAGATATTTCCACCCGAAGTCGTTGTGAGTGATGAGACTGTTTACCGGTCCTTGATGCACATAGAAGTAGAATTCTTGTCGAGAGACGCTACAGAGAAAGGTGGAGCTTTTTTTACCGCATGTGTGGATGTTCTGCCTTTGAAGGAAATGAAAGAGTTGATCCAAAAATTTTTGAAAAACCTCAAAGTGGCTGTTCAGCTCTTGCATCTAAAGTTCTGTGCCAGAACAAAGCTGTTCATGCTTAAAACCATTGTCTAGAAAATTAGTACGCCTATAAAAAATTTGTTCATTTGAATAGCTGGTAGAACAAGTATAATATATGCCACATGACACTAAATGGTTTTAATTTGTGAAAGTTGATCCTATTGTCAACCCTCGAATTTATGATAACCATTACAGGATTCGTGTATAGCGGAGAGAGGGACATGTGGAATACGCATATATCCTTGTGTGAGTCTGTTGTTTGCAATTTTTTGTTCATTCACACGTCCATCACACGCACAGGAACCCTTCGATTTGCTTCCTGCTTTGTGTACGTATACTTTGTTGTATTTACATATGTAAGCGACGTGTACGGCACTTAGCAGCAAGCAGATCAAAGGACGCGTGCAAAGGGATGATTGGCCGGCTGAACATGTTGAATGAAGGACCGAAAATATGTTACAGTAGTGTGGTGAATATAAAGAATATAAAGCTATTAGGTCGTCCCATAAGTTCGTAGCGTCTTTGTTTTTGACGACGCCGTTTTTTGGTGAAGCGGTCGGTAACAGGGGATGCTCTACAAGAACTGCTCTCTATTTTCGAAGTGAACAAGATAACTTTTGTTTTACGACTTCTCAAGATAAAGTTTGCGGTGGCAAAAAATGGCGCTTTCGTAATCTGCAGTTTTGGCTCTATATACGGAAAACACCAGAGGATATTTTCCACCCAAAGTAATTGTGAGTGATGAGACTGTTTACCGGTCCTTGATGCACATAGAAGTAGACTTCTTGTCGAAAGAGACGCTACAGAGAAAGATAGAGCTTCTTATACCGCATGTGTAGATGTTCTGCCTTTGAAGAAAATGAAAGAGTTGATCCAAAATTTTTTGGAAAGCGCATAATGGCTGGTCAGCGCTTGTATCTAAAGTTCTTTGCCAGAACAAAGCTGTTCATGCTTAAAAACATTGTCTAGGAAATTAGTATGCCTATAAAAATTTGTACATTTAAATAACTGGTAGAAGAAATAGATGCCACATGGCACTAAATGGATTTAATTTGTGTAAGTTGGTCCTATTGTCAACCCTTGAATACATGATGATATTACAGGAAAACTGTCTAATGGAGAAAATACTTGGATTTTTTGAGCCACTACTCTCAGGATGCATAACTCCTTGTGTGAGTCTGTTGTTTGCAATTTGTTGTTCATTCACACGTCCATCACACATACAGGAACCCTTTGACTTGCTACCTGTTTTGTGTACATATACTTTGTTGTATTTATATATGTACCGTCTGCGCCCCAGAGAGGTTCCCATGTGAACCAAAGTGCGTACGTGGTGCGACGCTGCCTTTCGCTCTTTTTGACACGTTTCTCCCAAGATTTCAACGGAGTGCCCGAGGTTAACACGTTTAAAAGTGGGAAAGGCAGCGAGATGACGTGGTACCTATGGGAACCTCTCTGGGGCGCAGACGATACAGATGTGTACGGCCCTTAGCAGGAAGCAGATTAAAGGACGTCTGCAAAGGGGTGAATGGTGGCTGAACATATAAAATAAAGGACCGAAAATATGTTACAATAGTGTGGTAATTATAAAAATATTAGGTCGCTTCATAAGTTCATAGCGTTTTTGTTTTTGACACTGTTTTTTGCTGAAGCGGTCGGTTGAAGGCAGCGTCCAGAGAAGATCAGTCCACCCAGATTAGCACATAGTTGTAAAGAGGGTACCATGAGTATCCGATCTGCGTTGGTCTGATCCTTTGACGTGGCCTATAAAAGGAGATACGGGCTTGTGATACGTATCACAAACCGCCCCTTCGTATCAAAAACTACCCCTAAGGACGAGTGCTCACGCAGGTGTGCAGTTGCATTGCAGTTACCCTGCACACTGCAATGCAACTGCATCCGTGCAGTGCATTGCACCGAAAATCCTCAAGCAGGCATGCGATGGGGACGAGCAATCCGAAACTCGTCCGCTCCTTGAAGAGAGGGTCACGAAGAATAGGAGTTTTTGGCGATTTTGAACAAATTGACTTCACAACTGTAATCAGGGCCACGGAAAGGCCCCAAAATGGCAGAAACATGAGAGGCGAAATTTTGCCCGGACGCTGCCTTTAACGGGGATGCTCTACAAATTGCTCTTTATTTTCGAAGTGAACCCCATAATTTTTGTTCTACAATTTCTCAAGATAAATTTTTCGGAGTGGCAAAAAATGGCGCTTTCGTAATTTGCAGTTTCGGCTCCATATACGGAAATTACCAGGAGATATTTTCCACTCGAAGTCGTTGCGAGCGATGAGACCAGGGCCCGGCATGCGTTGGTTTGGAACATTTTTGGAAATGAAGTCCCCATGACTTCGCGAAAATTTACGAAGTCCATCTTGACGTGAAAATTGGTAGGAAAACCTTTATCCAATCAAAATAACAATAAAAGCGAACAAAGTGCATTTTGAGGTGCTTAACATGAGCAAAAAAGCAAAAGGGAAACATTTCGAATTGATTAAAGCCTCTGTCATTTGGTTGGTGCCATTTTAGTGCTAAGAATGTCGAAAACCCCCTAGGTTAATCAAATCTGTGGCCCTAACAATCTAGCGATGCATTTTTCGCCACATATTTCAAAAGACATCGCATGTGATTAGAGCGCAATATCTATCAACGCGTAGATTCACACTATTTTTGACGCAAAAAAAGAAAAGAGACAATGGTTTGATTCGCTCTCTTCACTGTATAATAGATTTTTGACCGTTATAATCGTCCAAATCAAAAAGGTCTAAAACTTATGTGAACTCTCCGATATTTATGCTCCGAACCAACCCATTTGGTTTGGTGTTGGTCTAGAAACTAACAAATTCGGGAACGGGTATTAGGACACATAAGTTTTTGAAACTTTTTACATAACATAGTTTGGAGTAATATTGTATACATATAGCCAAATTTGGAGCCATGTGATTGTTTGTGCGCTGTAAACACGCCATTTGTTTGTTTGAGTCTTGCGTTTAAAATTCGCGCGCTTGCAAAAGAACACGTCCAACCAGTAAAACCTGATATGTTCGCCGTTTTCCTATTCAGTGCCTCCCCTAGGACCTTAACAGAACGATATCCCCGTTGCTCCTAACTTCAAAAACGAAGTCCAGTTTGACCCCAGCCCATCTGTGCCGGGCCCTGGATGAGACTATTTGCCGGACCATGCTGCACATAGAAGTAGACTTCTTGTCGAGAGAGACGCTACAGAGAAAGATAGAGCTTCTTATACCGCATGTGTAGATGTTCTGCCTTTGAAGGAAATGAAAGGGTTGATCCAAAAAATTTTAAAAAACCTCAAAATGGCTTTCAGCTCTTGCATCTAAAGTTCTTTGCCAGAACAAAGCTGCTCATGCTTAAAACCATTGTCTAGAAAATTAGTATGCCTATAAAAAATTTTTTCATTTGAATAGCTGGTAGAACAAGTAGATGCCACATGGCACTAAATGGTTTTAATTTGTGAAAGTTGATCCTATTGTCAACCCTTGAATTATTCATGATAACAATTACAGAATTCGTGTGTAGCGGAGAGAGGGAAATGTGGAATACGCATACATCCTTGTGTGAGTCTGTTGTTTGCAATTTGTTGTTTATTCACATGTTTATCACACGTACAGGAACCCTTCGATTTGCTACCTGCTTTGTGTACGTATACTTTGTTGTATTTACATATGTACAGCGACATGTACGGCACTTAGCAGCAAGCAGATCAAAAGACGCGTGCGAAGGGATGAATGGCCGGCTGAACATATTGAATGAAGGACCGAAAATATGTTACAGTAGCGCGGTAAATATAAAGCTATTAGGTCGTCCCATAAGTTTGTAGCGTCTTTGTTTTTGACGACGCCGTTTTTTGGTGAAGCGGTCGGTTAACGGGGATGCTCTACAAGAACTGCTCCTTATTTTCGAAGTGAACCCCATAATTTTTGTTCTACAACTTCTCAAGATAAAGTTTGCGGAGTGGCAAAAAATGGCGCTTTCGTAATCTGCAATTTTGGCTCCATATACGGAAATCACCAGGGGATATTTTCCACCAAAGTCATTGTGAGTGATGAGACTGTTTACCGGTCCTGATGCACATAGAAGTAGACTTCTTGTCGAAAGAGACGCTACAAAGAAATATAGAGCTCCTTTACCGTATGTGTAAATGTTCTGCCTTAGACGAAAATGAAAGAGTTAATCCAAAATTTTTTGGAAAAGCGCGAAATGGCTGGTCAGCGCTTATATCTAAAGTTCTATGCCAGAACAAAGCTGTTCATACTTAAAAGCATTGTCTAGGAAATTAGTACGCCTATAAAAATTTTATTTGAATAAATGGTAGAAGAAGTAGATGCTACATGGCACTGAATGGTTTTAATTTGTGTAAGCTGATCCTATTGTCAACCCTTGAATACATGATGATTTTACAGAGAAAGTGTCTAATGGACAAATTACTTGGACTTTTTGAGCCAATAGTGGCAGGATGCATATCTCCTTGTGTGAGTCTGTTGTTTGCAATTTGTTGTTCATTCACATGTCTATCACACGTACAGGAACCCTTTGATTTGCTACCTGCTTTGTGTATAGGGCTTATCAAATAAAGTGTCGTTTGCATCAGCATCTCCATCTTCGCGCTGGACTGTGCGTCTCTTCTGCGGTACACGCACCCTAATCACTTCCAATCGATTGCTGCTCCGCCTTTCTCACGCTCGCCATAGGAAATTGCTCAGAGAACAGCCCTGCGGAAGAGACGCAGAGTTCAGCGCGAAGATGGAGAAGCCGGTGCAAACGACACTCAATTTGATAAGCCCTATACGTATACCTTGTTGTATTTATATATGTACAGCGACGTGTACGGCTCTTAGCAGGAAGCAGATTAAAGGACGCGTGCAAAGGGATAAATGGCTGGCTGAACATATAAAATGAAGGACCGAAAATATGTTATAATAGTGTGGTGAATGTAGTAATATTAGGCTGGAAACTAAGTTTTGCAACTACTTTGGTAACTCATGTTTCCTTGGATGTAGCGTACTCAAACTTACGCACTATGTAGAGCTAGTCTGAGCTGCAACTGACCAAAGCTGCTTGAATTTTGAAAAAGAATTAAAAAATTTGTGGACGAATCGGATACAGGTTCAATCTTTAACCTTAGGCCAACCAAGCCCTCTACCCTCCGGGGCTGGTAAATTGGAACCAGAGTAATCTGGGACGATAAAAGCAGTGACTTGGAAACGGCTGGCCTCCGCAAGTCACTGTAATAGGCTCGCACGCATACAATTGCCTCTTCGACCGCGAAGTTAATGTGTGCGTTCGGCGCATGCCCTCAGAGGGTATTGAAGACGCCGAATCCTTTATCCCTTTTACCCAAATCAAAAAATTTCAGGCATTTTTCGAAAACTAATAAATTTTGAAAATTCTTAGGGTTTTGAGGTAAAATGAAGTTGTTTGCAGTCTAGACCGTGCGCAATCATCCGGAACCGTGTACCAATTGTTGCTAAAGGTTGACTTAATCGGCTCACCCCAAAAAGACATAAAATTCAAGGCCAAGTCAAGATTTTACGCCCTCAAAATTTTGAAAGAGTTGCTGTACGCAAGGCTGCTGGGAACAACCGTCAATGACTAAGGTGTCAAAACCACAAATTCCCCGAGTCTTTACATACTAGGGATCCTTAAACTGCTAGACACGAATATCGTACTCATTTGTTAAATCAATGCCTCTTTCCTTGTTTATTATGGGACCCTGTATCGTACCTACAATAATCTTACAAAAAAGCCCTTATCGCGCAACTTCAGTATTATTCTCGTGATCAGCATGTCGGGTAGCCCCCTTATGCCAAGTTTCAGCCGATTCTGTCGCGTGTTATAATTTTTCCCTTCATACCGCATACCTACCGTAACCCTCACCGCGACGTCAAAATTTGGCAGAACGCTCTCGTCATAACCAACACAGTGGCAAAATTTGAGCGCGCCATGTTGAGTGAGAGGAAGATTATTGAGTGAGATGCAAAACTTAGCTTCCAACCTAATATTAGGTCGTTCCGTAGCGTTTTTGTTTTTGACGCCGTTTTTGGTGAAGTGGTCGGTTAACGGGGATGCTCTACAAGAACTGCTCTCCATTTTTGAAGTGAACCTGATAAATTTTGTTTTACAACTTCTCAAGATAAAGTTTGCGGAGTGACAAAAAAAGGCGCTTTCGTAATCTGGAGTTTCGGCTACGGAAATTACCAGAAGATATTCTCCACCCGAAGTCGTTGTGAGTGATGAGACTGTCTACCGGTCCTTGATGCACATAGAAGTAGACTTCTTGTCGAGAGAGACGCTACAGAGAAATATCGAGCTTCTTTTACCGCATGTGTAGATGTCCGGCCTTTAAAGGAAATGAAAGAGTTGATCCAAAATTTTTTGGAAAATCTCAAAATGGCTGTTCAGCGCTTGTATCTAAAGTTCTGTGCCAGAACAAAGCTGTTCGTGCTTAAAAGCATTGTCTAGAAAATTATTATATCTATAAAAAATTTGTTCATTTGAATAGCTGGTAGAAGAACTAGATGCCTCATGGCACTAAATGGTTTTGATTTGTGAAAGTGTTCCTATTGTCAACCCTTGAATTCATGATAACTATTACAGAATTCGTGTGTAGCGGAGAAAGGGACATGTGGAATACGCATATATCCTTGTGTGAGTCTGTTGTTTGCAATTTGTTGTTCATTCACACGTCCATCGCACGTACAGGAACCCTTTGATTTGCTACCTGCTTTATGTAAGTATACTTTGTTGTATTTTTTTATGTACAGCGACGTGTACGGCTCTCAATAGAAAGCAGAATAAAGGGCGCGTGCAAGGGAGATGGATGGCTGGCTGAACATATAAAATGAACAATCGAAAATATATCATAGTAGTGTGGTAAATAATATAATGTTTGGAAGTCTAGGCAAGAGTTCATCTTAATATAAATTGCACGAATATTCGCGTGTGAAGTTCCACTGCCAACTATATCAGAATGAAAGGGTGAAATTAGTGCCTAACATAAATTAAAAAATGCTTTTTCGAATAGCGGGTAGAAGAAGTAGATGACAGATGGCACTAAATGGTTTTAATTTGTGTAAGTTGATCCTATTGTCAACCCTTGAATACATGATGATTTTACAGGAAAAGTGTATAATGGAGAAAATATTTGGATTTTTCGGGCCAATATTCTCAGGATGCACATCTTGTGTGAGTCTGTTTTTGCAATTTGTTGTTCATTCACACGTCCATCACACGTACAGGAACCCTTTGATTTGCTACCTGCTTTGCGTATTAGGTCGTCCGGAAATTAAATTCCAATCGCAATAAGTCATACACTTCTCATTTCTAAGTAGGTTGCAAGGTACCGTTCGATAGAGCAAAGTAAGCTCTACCAGATGACTATCTTATTTTAGCAATAGCTCTGATCCACAACGTGTTTCGCGCCAAAAACTAAAAACATTCAAGCGTCCGAAAAAATGGGGAAAATCGTAACTCAGTTCATAAAAATCCTATAAAATTTCTAACTCGCTCCCGTAAATATAATCCACATAGAGCATCTATATACGCCGTTGCCGCATTTTTTTCTTTGTTAGAAATCAAGAGAACGGAAATTTTCGTGCATTTGCCAAAGTGATGCTGTGCCGTCCAAACATAGGTAGTTGTATACCACAAGTCTGTTGAAGTACAGACTCAAATTTCCAGCTTCTACAAGCTTTAGTTCTCGAGAAATATCGAATACAGTTTCCCTAGTCATGGGGTCCAAGCTAAAATTCACATTTCTCGAGAACTAAAGCTTGTAGAGAGCTGGAAATGTGAGTCTGTACTTCAACAGGCTTGTGGTATACAACTACCTATGTTTGAACGGCACAGCATCACTTTGGCAAATGCACGAAAACTTCCGTTTTCTTGATTTCTAACAGAGAAAAAAATGCGGCAACGGCGTATATAGATGCTCTATGTGGATTATGTTTACGGGAGCAAGTTAGAATTTTTATAGGATTTTTATGAACTTAGTACGATTTCCCCAATTTTTCGGACGCTTGAATGTTTTTAGTTTTTGGCGCGAAACACGTTGTGGATCAGAGCTATTGCTAAAATAAGATAGTAATCTGGTAGAGCTTACTTTGCTCTATCGAACGGTGCCTTGCAACCTACTTAGAAATGAGAAGTGTATGACTTATTGCGGTTGGAATTCAAAACCTGCATTAATTTCCGGACAACCTAATACGTATACTTTGTTGTATTTATATATGTACAGCGACGTGTACGGCTCTTAGCAGGAAGCAGATTAAAGGACGCGTGCAAAGGGATGAATGACTAGCTAAACATATAAAATGAAGGACCGAAAATATGTTACAATGGTGTGGTGAATATAATAATATTGGGCTGGAAACTAAGTTTTGCAACTACTTTCATAACTCATCTCTCCTTGGATTAGCGAACTCAAACTTAGGCAATATGTAGAGCGTGGTGTGAGCTACAACAGACCAAAGCTGTTTGGATTTTGAAAGAGAATTAAAAAATTTCAGGCATTTTCCGAAAACTAGTAAATTTAAAAAATTCTTAGGGCTTTGAGGTAAAATAAAGTTGTTTGCAGTCTAGACCATGCGCAATCATCCGGAACCGTGTACCAATTGTTGCTAGAGGTTGACTTAATCGGCTCACCCAAGAAAGACATAAAATTCAGGGCCAAGTCAAGATTTGACGCCCTCACAATTTCGAAAGAGTTGCTGTACGCAAGGCTGCTGAGAACAATCGTCAATGACTAAGATGTCAAAACCACAAATTCCCCGAGTCTTTACATACTAGGGTTCCTTTGAACTGCTAGACACGAATATCGTGTTCATTTGTTAAATCAATGCCTCTTTCCTTGTTTATTATGGGACCCTGTATCGTACACCTACAATAATCTTACAAAAAAAGCCCTTATCGCGCAACTTCAGTATTGTTCTTGTGATCGGCATGTCGGGTAGCCCCCTTATGCCAAATTTCGGCCGAATCTGTCGAGTTTTATTTTTCCCTTCATGCATACCTACCGTAACCCTCACTGCGACGTCAGAATTTGGCAGGACAGCAGCTGCGCTTGTGGCTTACGTCATAACCAACACAGTGGCAAAATTTGAGAGCGCCACATTGAGTAAGAGGAAAGTTTTTAAATGAGATGAAAAACTTAGCTTCCAACCTTATATTAGGTCGTTCCATAAATTCGTAGCGTTTTTGTTTTTTATTTGGTGAAGCAGCTAACGGGGCTCTACAAGAATTGCTCCTTATTTTCGAAGTGAACCCCATAATTTTTATTCTACAATTTCTCAAGATAAAGTTTGCGGAGTGGCAAAAAATGGCGCTTTCGTAATCTGCAATTTCGGCTCCATATACGGAAATTATCAGGGGATATTCTCCCATCTTTTTGTGAGTAATGAGGAACGACTATTTACCGGACCTTAATGCACATAAAAGTGGAATTCTTGTCGAAAGAGAGGCTATAGAGAAATATAGAACTCTCTTTACCGCATGTGTAGATTCTGCCTTTAAAGAAAATGAGAGACTTGATCCAGAAATTTTTGGAAAAGCTCAAAATGGCTTGTCAGCGCTTGTATCTAAAGTTCTGTGCCAATTTAATAAAGCTGTTCATTGCTCAAAGGCATTGCCTAGGTCCTTTGGAAAGTGGTGGGATTTTGGCGTAATGGAGAAACACTGCTCGCGATTAATGCAACAGTTTAAGTCCGATCGTAAAAGTTGGATTCTGAGGCAAAAAATCGCTTCGAAAAGAAGCGGAAAAAATGGCGGGACACTAATCCCGCCCCCTTGACAGTTTGGACGTGGTTGATACATTAGATCTACAGCATTCGCCACGTCAAAACTTGTCAAGGAAGCGGAATTAGCGTATTGCCCCTTTTCCCCCAAGCAATGTTCTCGAATTCCACTATTTCGATCGGACTTGAACTGTTACCTTAGTCAGAAGCAGCTGTCCGCACCACGTCAAAATCCCACCACGTCCCATTTGACTTGGACAGTTCCTTTGAGGTCCGACAGCACGGGACATTCTGCTGCGTACGACGCTCAAAACTCAAGCTGCAGCAAACGGGAACAGCAACTATCGAGAGCTCTTTCAAACAGTTCTTACAAGAGGAGTCGAAGCATCGAATCAAACAAGCTGTATAACATTCAATGGGGCATGGAACGCTGACTCCGAATCTGTCTTCCTTATCTGCTTTTCGTTTTTGTGGACGAGGCTATAAGCAATCTGATTGCAAAAAAAACCTGTATAAACACTGCGAAATTGAGCACATAATTGCGCTCTCAGCTCATCTTTGGGTAGGGCTACATATACGATGTAACCTAGCTGCATATTTTGACCCAGCATTAAGCTTAGTAGCTCTATACGGCCGAATTTTCACTCTCGCCTATAATTTCTTAGCAAAACAATAGCCTTTAATGGCTTATAGCTTCGTCCAGAAAAGCGCAAAGTAGATAAGGAAGACAGGTTTTGAGTCAGCACTTTATGCTGCATCTAATGGTATGCTGCTTTTTGGATTATTTTCAACTTCTGACCATACCCTAGTTAGCATATTGATGAGACAACATTGTGTCAGCAAACCAGCCTTGCTTGCTACTAGCTATTCCACTATGCATGCAGACAAAAAAGTTTTGTGGGGAAGAAATGCGAAAAGTACAGGTGTCGAAATCGCCATTTTTGCCACATAAAAAAACTTTGCCTTGAGATGTAATGAAACGAAGATTATTAGGATAGTTTCGAAATTTGAGAGCAGGTCTTGTAGAACAAAAGTTGCTCTTTTGATTGTTGCAGACGCTTTACCGTAAACCAACCACTTCGCGAGAAATCACGACAAAAATAAAAACGCTACGGACTTAGGCCTCGGCCAGTTTGAGCGATTTCGATCTGGCAGCTTGCCAGATGTCTTCAAATCGTATACTGGGAGTCTACAATTGTACAGTGTGTAACTTTCTTAACTTGGAGAAATTCCGGATCTTCTGTACATCTGAAATAGTTTTGCAACGAGTTCTGAACATGGAGTATTGCCAAATCCCGTCGCGATCAAAATCGCGTGAACTAGGCCCGAGCCCGTATGGAACGACCTAATCTATGAAAGTTTAGACAAGAGTTTGTCTCAATGTAAATTGCAATTCGAATGTTCGAGTGTGAAGTCCGACTGCCAACTATACCAGAATGAAACAACCAAATTAGTATGTTCAAAATGGAAGATTTGCTCATTCAACTAGTAGAAGACGTAGATGCCAGATGGCACTAAATGGTTTTAATGTGTAAATATCCTATTGTCAACCCTTGAATACATGTTGATTATTACAGGATCCGATGAAAAATGGAACGAATTGCAGAGATCCTGGGCAGTGTCCATTCAATCCAAAACCGCTTCCGAACAAGAATTCGGTGACTCTGCTTTTTGCAATTTTTGTTCATTCACACGTTATAACACGTACACAAGCCCTTCGATTTGCTTTCTGCTTTGCATACATATACTTTACTATAGACATGTAGCGCTTAAAGAAAGTTGCGTTTGGTCAAAATGGCCTTTCTACATGAGTACGATTATAAAGAGCATCTGTCTTCGTTATCTGCCGAACGCTCTGGACGTTGAGCTAGAGTTTCTTGAGTTGAAAAATTGAACGTATAATCAGAAAAAGTTCGTCAGAATTGCTCAAATGGTCCAATCTTATCAGAGCACACCATTTAACGATACTCACTTGTCAACATACACTTAACAATGCTCTATTTAAGCGCTGAAAGGACCATAAAATTTGATTTTACCCGGGTGGGGGAACGAAAGCCGCCAGGTCCAGCCGCCTTTCGCGGCCAGCTGGTCCTTTCGCAGCGTTGTTGCATATCGTTCCAGGACCAGCAGTCCGCGGAGGCGGCTGGACCTGGCGGCTTTCGTTCCCCCACCCATTTTACCCTAATTATGAGTTCTTTTTTCGCACCAAGAAAATACTCACATTTGGCATTCAGACGCGCTTGGCAGATAATGAAATCAGATTTGGAATCACCGTTCGATACTCTTTAAACCAGTATAAGACTCATCTGGAAAGGCCACTTCGACTAATCGGACCTCCATTGTTAGCAGAAAGCACACTAAAGGGCGCGCGCAAAGTGATGGATGGCTGGCTGAACATATAAAATGAACAACTGGAAGTATATTACATTAGTAGTGTAGTAAGTAATTTAGGAGGTCTAGACAAGAGTTTGTCTTTATTCAACGTTCCCAAATGATGTGCCTACCGTTTGGGTGATCTCCATTAGAGTGTCCCATAATTTTTTACCGTTTTTACCCTAAGTATCAGCGATTTTCGGAACTGGGGCGTGCAAATACATGTTCATACTTCTGCATGTATGAGCTATATGATCACGTGTGTGGAAGGAGCTCAGGACGTCTAGGCTCGGAGTTTGCTGTCTTACTCCAATCATTTTTTCTTTATTTCGAGCCATGGAAAAAAGCGGAAAGTGTACAGATGATCGTTTGATGTGTTAAGTATGCTAGGATAAATGGAGAATTTTCAAGATTTCTGGGGCGGAGATACGATTTTTAAAGGAAAGGTCGTTTTCGACTGCTATCAATATTCAACTCAAAACTTCCGGTGAATTACGATTTGGCCAGATTCTTCATAGCCATCTTGTAGAGCTTGGTTTGCCCTGTTGAATGATTAGTCAAGACGCATTAATTGAAGGAAAACAAAAATGACGGTTGCAGTAAAAACGTAAAAAATTATGAGACACCCTAAAATGAAGCTCGCACTTCTCCGTAGCGCTTTTCTATTGAGTTAAGCCAAAGTTTCGTATCAACCGATTTCTGATGTTCGTCAAATATTTGCTTCCCCATCTGAAAACTCCGTATTCTCGAAAACTTATATAATGAAATACGCATGGATGATAACCCTGTTTATGCCTCACAAAAATTTGCTCATTCGAATAGCTGCTAGAAGATGTAGATGCAAGATAACATTAGATAATTTTGTTGTTTGTAAGTTGAGTTCTTATTGTTAGCCCTTGAGCTCATAATGACCATTACAGACTTCACCGACTGAAAATTGTGCAATTGAAAAAAGGACACCAATCGAACAATACTTTTTCAGTGCGTTGAACAGCCATTTGGGCGGACTAGTGAGTCTGTTGTTTTGCATTAAAAGAAATGATATCATAAGCTTCGTTCCACAGTTCGTAGTTTACTACGGATGATCTTGAAAATCAACAATAGTGTGCTATTATTATCGTGCTACTGCAAAACGAAGCAGCAACTCACATACAAAGTAAGCTTATGGTAGTCATGACATAAGCATCGATAGTAGAGATAAGCGTTTGCGACTATAGGGGCCCGCATGATCGCGAGAGTCGGACGTGCGCACGGCCATTGCGCCGCCCATGTCGCTCTCACGACTCGGGTAGGCGCCAGACTTACCCTGTTTAACAGGTTCAATCGGTTCATCCTCTGCTATTGGTCAGTACATTGATTTGACCAATAGCGAATAATGAAGCGGACGAACCGATTAAACAGGATGAGTCTGGCACCCGCCCCAGTGACATCGGACGCGCACGGCGCAATGGTCTTAAGCACGTCCGACTTTCGCGATCATGCAGGCCCTTATATTTGAGCCCACACTTACTGCTCAACTGGATTTCTGCAGAACCGTACCAAAGAAGTGGCTAATGATGGCTTTCATTATGAAAACCTTACACTGATTCCTTCTGGTAAGATCTAATGCATGCTTTTTAAGGTCTATACATGTCATGCGGAAGAAAAGGCCAAGAAGCTCATACGCAGTTTGGACCTCAAAAAAGTTTGTTGGAATAATCGCAGACAAATCGTTGGCTACCAAAAGGGGGACAGAACCTTCGTGTTTTGTGCCTACACTAAGTATGTCCCCTTTCTTACTCCGTTTTAAAAGTTTGAGATAGAAACTGAAATAATTACCTTTTATTGTCAGGCACAAAACTCTGGAATCCTACGTAGGCGAGTACCTCACCAGCAGAAACCTATCTTACTGGGATGAGCTAGCTGAAAAGGTGAGGATCGACTCACACGCAGTTTTTTTGGAAACGTGCTAATCAGATTCTCGTTAGCCGATAATAAGGAAATCCGAAGTTATAGGCCTGGCCTTATAGTTATCGCCTGCAGGATTGCGAGAGTCGGGCGTGCGTACGGCCATTGCGCCGGCAAGTCAGATGTGCGTCCGACGACTCAGGTAGGTGCCAGACTTATCCTGTTGAACAGATTCATTCGGTTCACCATCTTTGCTGTTGGACAGTGTAGTGATTTGACGTATAAACAGAACGAACCGGCTGAAGCGGATAAGTCTGGCACCTGCCTTAATGACATCAGACGTGCGCGGCGCAATGGTCGTACGCAAGTCCGACACTCGCGATTCTGCAGGCCCCTATAATTGGTATCGTTCATTCGTTGACCGGGACTGCCGACCGCATGGCGACTGCGACGCGTGCCTTCTAAACTTGCGAAAAAATGACAAGTTGGACCGTGGCTTAAGATGAGAAGAATTCTTTGTTTCTTTTCTACATTATAAAGATGAGAAAAATTTTCTGTTTTCTTTCTATTCATCTTTTCTACGAAAACATCATGCACGCGCAGCGGTCGCCGCGCGGTCAGCAGTCGTTACGGTCAACGAATAAACGATACCTGCGCTCAAGCTGCTTTTTTGCATTTTGATGGCAAAATGCGACACATCAAAACATGGGTGGTTTAGGAATGCAAGACTCGAAAAAGCTAGCATGTTAAGGTCCACAACTGCTCTTAGCATTTATGTGATCAACCTGAAAATGAGCTATAGGGCGAGCTTTCGACTCAAACGTCAACGCTTCATAGAAATGTTGTAGGAGTCAAGAAGGCGTTTTCTAAGAACCAGAGCATCGACCTTTCGAGCAGTTTTGCAAAGAGATCGAGTTTGGGTAGTTCAAATTATGACATGCATTCGTGTTTTCAGTTGAATGTGTGACCTGGACTATGTTAAGACACGAGATCTCATTGACTCAAGACTCATATGTACATAAATTGAGTTGTTGAAAAGTGCTTGCTAGTTGAACGAAATTCAATAACCTTCAAAGTACTAAACGGAGAACGCTGGCTGGCTCCAAAAGAATTGTGAAAATTTCTTACATGGCAGTAGTCCAGAGAAGAAAACAGAAACTTGTGTTTAAATCAAAGATTCCCAAAGCTATCGGTATTCGAGTTACGCAGTAACTTTTCCAACAACCTATTATAATTATCCAGATACTGTTTGAATAATTTTGTACACACAATGCAGCAAAATGGATTCTATCATTGCCTACAGAGGTGCTTAGCAAAAATAATAAGAATATCTGGAATTTTTGGAATGCAACTTGGACCTTCGATCATTTCAGTGCTAACTTTCTTAATTCTCTAGTTTAAAGTACTATGCGGCGCTAACAGCAGCGAATATTGCGTGCTCGAATAATCGAACTACGCTCATCCTAATAATGATTCTGTTAACGTGCTCTATTTACAATAAACTCGAAATTCTGATTTAACTATATACGAACACTATCAAGAATTGTTTCAGATTCCCAAGTATTTCCACGGGCGTTTAAGAGCGGGATGCGATAAGAAAGAAGACTGGATTTTGTGCGTAGTGAAGATCCCTAAGGAGGAACCTAAATCTTGTATCTCATGGCTCATGGGCACATTTAATCGCTTACGTTACTTCTTACCTTGACTTTGGTAGTTGCGTGAAGCTGTCGTTGCCCATTATTGGTCTTGTTAATAAAAAATTTTGTGAAGCAACCGTACTACCATGAATCTAAGCTTTTTTTCCGCTGGTACAACTTTTTCTTGCTTCCATTTGCTCGTCACATTCTCCCTAAAAAAAGTGTAATAATTTTTTTGCAGAAAAAAATTTTTTTTCTACCGAAAAAGGAAAGGAGTCTTTGCTATGTTTAGTTTTCTAGAGGTTCTCTATTTTTAGAAGTCTTACATCAATCTGTTAAAAGAACCGTTTGTAAATGAATCTTGCCATTTTAGACCTTAATAGTAATCAGGAGACAATGTGGGCCCCGGCTAGACTTCGCTCAAAAGCGCCCAAAAAAGCGGGAACGCCCGCTTTCGCGTGGGCAACATTGACGCTGGCGTAAGTGTGAAATACATCTTTTAACACTAAAATGAACTAATGTAAAAACTCCTCCTTTTTTTCAAAAAAGAATGGGTTCTATGATGATGACGTCAGACGTAAAATTATTTATATTAGTTTGATGCATAATTCCTGCACCAAAATAAGTACAGACCGCAATAGTCCGGAATAATCCTATATTCCAAATAAGATTCGATATACCATTAGATAGAGCAAACTAGCTCTACAAGATAGTGAAGAATTGAAGATTTGCAGCAGTTTTGATCCAAGCGAAGTTTGAAGCCAGAAACGAAAAAGATCCAAGCGCCCCAAAAAAAACAAGAAAAAACCTGAAGTCCGTTTAAAAAAATCCCTTAGAATTCCTGACATGCTCATGCATTGTCATTTCGCATGAGACATTTCTCTATGCAGTTGCTGTCTTCTTCTCTCAGCTAGAAATTGAGAAAAATAAGTTTTTCATGCTTTTTCCAAGACAATGCTGAGATGTGCTAGCACTGACATTTGTATACTATAGGACCTTAGAAGCGTGAATGTGAATTTTCAGCTCTTTACAGCTGCTGGTTTACGAGAAATATCGGATTTTTAGCAACTAAGCAAGAAAAATTTGGATAAGGAGAGCTAGACGTCATTTTTTGTAAACAAGCAGTAGAAGGCTGAAAATGTAAAGTTTTACTGCTAACAACATGTACTATACAACTGTTAGTGCTAGTATATCTCAGCACTAATTTGGCCAACATGAAAAACTTCGTTTTCTTATCGTCTAGCTGAGAAAAAATACAGCAACCGCATAGATAAGTGTCTTACGTGGAATGTCTACGCTTGAGCAAGAAAAAAAATTTTGTAGGCTTTTTAAACGGAGTTACAATTTTGTTTTGATTGGTCTTAAGGTCTTTGAACGCATGGCTTTTTTTTCAGTTTTCGGCTATTTAAGCACTATCTTGTAAAGCTAGGTTTGCTCTATATAATAATACTAGCTGGCTTACCCGGCTCCGCCGTATCCGGACCAAACTTGGCACACATACACTTCGGGCCCCGGCGGGTGTCACAGTCCACTTTTCGTTATCGATCGATGTCGATTTTACCGATTTTTATCGACTTTTTTGCAGAATTCACCTACAGGGCTAGGAGTTGGCACAGGGGGGGAAGTGAGCATGGGGATTCCGAATACAATATTAGTTTTCAGAATTATCGATTACTTTTATTGATTTTATCGATTTTTTGTAAATTTTGACATGCGAGGCTGGGATTTTGCACAGGGGGGTAATCGAGCATGCTGATTACGAATACAATATTAGTTTTTGGATCCATCCATTACTTTTATCGATTTTATCGATTGTTTTGTAAAGTTTGACCTGCGGGGCTGGGAGTTTGCACAGGGGGTAATCGAGCATGCAGATTACGAATACAATATTAGTTTCCAAGATCGTCCATTACTTTTATCGATTTTATCGATTTTTTGAAAATTTGAGCTAGGGGGCTGGATTTTGGCACCCCCCTTGGGGATGATCAGCATGCTCGATTACCCCCCTGTGCCAACTCCCAGCCCCCTAGCTCAAACTTTGCAAAAAAAATCGATAAAATCGATAAAAGTAATCGATAATCCCGAAAACCAATATTGTATTCGGAATCCCCATGCTCGATTACCCCCCTGTGCGAACTCCCAGCCCCGTAGCTCAAACTTTGCAAAAAAATCGATAAAATCGATAAAAGTAATCGATAATCCTGAAAACCAATATTGTATTCGGAATCCCCATGCTCGATTACCCCCCTGTGCCAACTCCCAGCCCCGTAGCTCAAACTTTGCAAAAAAATCGATAAAATCGATAAAAGTAATCGATAATCCTGAAAACCAATATTGTATTCGGAATCCCCTTGCTCGATTACCCCCCTGTGCCAACTCCCAGCCCCGTAGGTGAACTCAGCAAAAAAATCGATAAAAATCGATAAAATCGATATCGATCGATGACGAAAAGTAGCCTATGACACCCGCCGGGGCCCGTAGTGTATGTGTGCCAAGTTTGGTCCGGATCGGTTCAGAAATGGAATTTTCTATTCGGAACATACGTACATACATACATACAGACATACATACAGACAGACATACAAACAGACATTCAGCTTTAAATATAAGATATCGAATTCTATTTGAGGTATAGGATTATTCCGGATTATTGCGGTCTGTACCTATTTTGGTGCACGAATCATGCACCAACCTAGTATATCATCCATCGTGGGTAAAAAGGTCGAAAACTCTTTGCGCACATTGCGTAAACGAGCTTGAACTTATTCTTTTCTTATTTGTGTAGTAAATAGTCTTATAAGAGATAGATCACAAGTGCACAAACTTGTTAGAAACACCATCAAGCTTGTTTAAGAATGTGTGCAAAGCAAAAGTCGAGTCTCTCTTTGTCGCGGTCCCGCGATGCGAGCACTTCTAGGACTACTGACACTATGAGCACTGATTGCCGCGTATTCCGGCAACGATTACGGTAGTTTCTCACGATCCACAACCGATTCCACACCACCTCTACTTGTTTTGTGTTGCCAGTCGAACGCCTATATATGGCGGTAGACTGGTGCCCACCTCGGTGCCTGTTCGCTTTTTTACGATCGATATTTTCTCTTGTGTTATCGTGTGTGCTCGTGCTTGGAAGTTAAAGCAGTGGACTGGCAAAATTCAACAACTCAAAATTTTAATGCGGTAGACTCCTTAATGCCCAAGTATGAAAAGAGTGCAATTCCGGTTGCACAGCATGTCTTCCTTACGGAAAAAATTGCTCTCAAACTTACACGCGCAAGCCATTCTTACACGCATCCAAGCGAGTTGGCAATTTCCTTCTCACCATTGGAAGCTGCCCGCCGCAATGCTATAACCATTGGGTCCTGCAACGATTCGCTGTCATCAGCCTTGCTGCACTCGTCCAATTCCAAAGGGAAGGGCATTGAAAACGCTAGTTTTTGGCGTTTTCAAGCTCTCAAAAGTGGATTTTCGGAATCAGCGTATTGAATAACCCCTGATAAGTGAAACTTTGACTAGGTTGAGATTCGCCGAGCCACTGCCTTCAAGCTTCGGCCTTGAACATCTCTTTTATAACATTTAAGCAATGGCATCAGATTCGGATTGGAATTCGGATTGATATCGAACGAGCAACTTTGAAACTTTTGGAATTTGAGATAGTAACGTTGAATAAAGCTTGGAGCGGAGAGCGTTGTGCCGTAATATCCTAGCGGCGCGCGGTGGATTTTTTTAACTGAAGCCTCGGGAGCGTATTTACTATTTAGATATAACGCGCAACATCGGTAGCATGGGATGGACAGCTCGTACCGCGTTTACGTTTTTGCTCGGTAGTACTTCAGTTTCAGTAAATTCTTGACAATGGGAGTATTTTCTTATTTTATGTCAAGAGGATTGACTTTAGTAATTTATTGTTGTTTCTCGCTCCATAAAAGAATAAGGTTGCCCGGAAATTAATGCAGATTCCTTACTCGATCGCGGCAGTGTACTTATAAAGATGTGGGAAACATATCATTCGAGATAGAGCGCAGTCTCTACAAGACGCATTAGAACGACTGCAAAAAAAATTTGGTCCGGCGAAGTTTAAAAGCAAAATTCAAAAATAATAATTACCCGAAAATCAAACTTTCGTCCAAAAACATCCTGCGAACTTCCAACTTGGTCAGGCATATACTATCCACATCAAACATTCACATGTACAATTGCGATAATTTTTCCTCAAAAACTGCAAAAATGGAAGTTGGCATGCCATAGCACAGGCAATGCTGAGCCATTTTGACATAGATAGTTCTATACTACGAACTCTAAAAGCACAGCCATAGATTTTCAGCTTCTTTGAGGGTTAGTTTCCGAGGAAGATTGCATCTAACATAAAAAGTTAAAATAAGCAATATTTTGCATTTTTGATCCATTTTAAATTTTCAGCTTTCTGCCATTGTACAAACCTGGTAAGTGTGCATATTAATGTTTGATGTAGGGAACATATGCGTGACCAAGTTGGATGCCCGCAGGTGTTTTTAGACGGAGATCTGATTTTAGGTATTTGATTTTGAAGTTTACTTTCAAACTATGTACATGTAGAACAAACTTGTTGCGATCGTTCTAATGCAGTCTTGCAGATCCTTTACTCTGTCAAATAATATGCATCCCACATCTTTATACTGACAAGCCGCGATCGCGTAAGAAATCTGCAACAGTTTTCGGCATCCTGATAAAAGGCTGGGTAGCGTCGTAGGCATTAAGCGGGCAAGCGCACTAGGTCTCTGGTACATTCTAGGTCTAGGGACCCAAAGAGTACACCTTATTCTTATCGTAAGTGATACATATTTTTGCAACGGAGCAAAGGGTTTCGAAGCAAAGAATGAAAATAAGAACAATTATGCTTAAGCCTTCGATTACTTTCATGTGGATGAATCATCCGTTCGCGTTGACCGAAGTAGACTGAAATCCTATCTGATGATAACCAGATACGATCGACTGAAGCCGCACTGAGAAAGCAAGAATGTTCATGTGGTGACTCAAGTTGATATAGCGTAATCGATAATTGCCATGATCAAAATGCATAGATGTATCG